CGCCTGGACACATGGGGGAGGGCCTAGACCCTGCCTGGGATGATATGATAGACTTTGGAGATCCCCATGGAGGGCCTCCCCCTCCCTGGGGGGCAGAGTGGGGACTGGGAGGGTTGAGGAGGCTGGTGAGGGGGAAGGGTAGGAGGGGAGGGAGACGGAGCTGGGATTGACATGTGAAGATGTCCGCATGCGTTTGTGTTCTTGGTCTTTTAAACTCCATGTTGTTTTTCCCGATGTTTTAATTGGCCATGTTGTATCTTAGCACGAGGCTTAAGCAGGTAGCCATTGCCTGTTGAATTTCTTTTGCTCCTTTGTATTTTCTCAAATGATAAATATTTCTCCATACTTCCTCATCCTCCTGTCCTTCTCCGGGTGGAACTACCATCCAAAGCACCTTTCCTTCAGACTTGGACCATTTTCCTGGCAAAAGAATTGTTCTTGCTAACCTCTGTGGCAGCTGAAGTGTGGATGGAGCCTTTTCCTTGCTTCCCGTAGGACCCTCACTTTGCACCACTGCAGGACTGCAGCTCTGCAGCCATTCACTAACAACTGGGAGGACCAGGCCCATGTTTGTGGATGTAAGAAACTGAGGTTATCGCTTAAAACAAGTATTTCCTCACAGCTCTGCTGTTCTTCCTGCGATGTCATCCAAGTAGTTGCCACCAGGGGTGACTACTGTTTCAGGGCTTTAAAATAAAACTTCAGACTTATAAAGTAGGGAAGGCGCAAGGCAGAGAGAGTAAACCTTTAAAAGCAGAGTTCAAATCAATAATGACTAGCATTTTCTAGCCTTGATTTTCCTGCTAATGACTGGACGAAGACAGGTACTAATTAGAGAAAGTGTCTGGATTCTGAGCTGTACCAGATGGCACTGTGTGAGAACTATTCATAGAGCCAGGGAGAAGGGCGGGTTGTTCTTAGCTACCGTTTTTCAGTCTTGAGCTTGTCTGAGGATGTGTACATTTGCCCATCATCCTCCCCCTTTGCCCCCCACTCCCCATCCTTTGATTTTCCTCTGGTACTGTCAGAGGGTGCCTTCTGCCATCTCCACTGAGGGCTCTATGAGGAGCTCATTTCATTCATGTCAGATTTCCTTTCTTACCTGTATTGTAACTTGATCATATTGAACTTCTAAATCACCCTGTTGGGGCGTTGCAGATGTATCTCAAGATCACACAAAACTGGGGACCATCTTCAGCCTTGTGCACAGACACCATACAAATATTTCTGCCTCTGCTGTTTTGTTGTCATTGAACCCCTCATAGAATGTCTGAAAACATATTTTCCCCTTTTGGTTTGTACTTCAAACATTTGCTACCAACTCTGCTAGCCAACACCAGGAAAGCCTTGTTTGTTTGCACTCAAGTGTTCAGCACAGTGTGTCTTGGTATTGTTTGGACAAATGCTGCACATGCATTTTCTACAGTATGGAAATCAGCACTACAAAGCGTGGAACTGATTATGTTTAACTGAATTGCTGCTTTGTAAAATTGTAAACTAGGGCATGTTTATTGTGTTTGTTATGAAAGTCATAACTGTCCTTAGTCATGAAACTTTGCCTTGATTCCATAAGTTTTGAAGAAACTAATTGTTGGAACCAGAAAAATCAATAGGTACTGTTTACTCTTGAGAGTTCCAGTTTAAGTTAGAATCACTCCCCGCCCCCTTCATTATTTTCCTTGATATTGCTGAAATGTAAGTCCAGCAGACACATTAGGAAGCTGCTTTTAATTCCAGCAAGAGATCTGAAGGCCAGTGAGTAACGTTAGATATGGGAAAGAGTTCATATTATTGTCATCAAAATACTAGGAAAAAGGTTTCTGTATTTATTCCCTAGTGTTGTCATTGATGTTTATAGCTTTTCTATGTTCGTATTACCATGGCCTATTCTTTAGGTCTATCTCTGTAAACTCTCTCACATGTTTCGTTTCTTATACTTCTGGTTTGAGAAACCATCTATTTAGTGTCTCTTGTGCCTTTTGAGAACATTGCATCTATGCAGACCTGGTGGCAGAATTCGGTGGCAGAGTGTGTGCTTAGCATCTGTGAGGCCCTGGGCGCCCTACCCAAGTCCCCCAACCTTTTTAGGTTTCTCTTCTTAAAAGGGAAACAAAAATATCTTTCACAGAGCAACAGATATACATATGTGTGAGGGCCTGGTCTCAGTTCCCACAACCCAGAATTAAAACCCCTAGGGAAGATGGATGTTTGTAATTCCAAACCTGGGAGGCAAAGACAAGCAGATTCCTGGAGATGTTGGCCAGCTAGCCCAGCTACCGGGTCAGTTCTAGGTCAGTGAGAGACTGTTTCAAAAAACCAAGGTGGGAGATGCCTAAGGAATGGCACCCAAGGTTGTCCTGTGACCTCTGCAAGCAGCCCCCTCCCATAGAACTACCCAGAGAGAGGAATTATTAGCATGTCATTGTACTTCTGCTTTTCATAGGACTAAATATAGTTGTGCTGAAAGAAAAGGCTAATTACCCTGGATTGATTAGTACAATATGCAAGTGTCCAAATATCTACCATTTTTTTGCAATTAATATGTTTATCGAGAAAGGAAAAAGGAAAATGATACAGTTGTGTTGAAGTATATATAGTTGCTTGTAAACAAATCTTGTATTTTCATGAAACATTACATTGTGAGATGCTATCCAATGTTACAAAAGCATAATATTGTTTCATTGTGTTAGGATGCATGGCATTTGTTTTTATTAATTCCCTACTTTTGAGCATTGATGTTGTTTCTGACTTCATAATGAGTTCTGTGGTCAATATTTTTTGAATAATAAGCCTTCATATATATCCTCAGTATAATAGAACTTCATTGAAGGCTTAAATAGAAAACAATGTAAAGTTATGAATGAGCTGTAGAGGCTCATAGTTGCAACCTGGTTTGGACATAGCAACAATCCTTAGCCGCTCTGAACTACTTCCAGGTCTTTTTAGTCTGATTCCTGATTTGCAGAAAAAATGTCAGGAGAAGGACTGGGGAAATGGCTGTGACACTCAAGTGCTCAATGTATAACATGAGGTCCTGAGTTTGGATCCCTGGTAGCCACATAAAAGAGTCAAGTGTGGCAGCACACATCTGCACCCCTTCGGTCCCTGGAGATTGTGGGCCAGTTGGCCTAGCCAAAATGATGAGTTAATAAGTTATAGGTTCAGTCATTAATCTTGTCTAATAAAGGGGGGATTGAGAAAGACACCATTGTCAATTTCTGGCCTCCACATACACATGTACATATGTGTATGGACATCTGTACACATACATTCATATACCCTCACAAATGTACATATAATACATACACAGAGAGAAAGAGAGAAGGGAGGAGGAGAGAGGGAGGAGGAAAGGAGAGAGGGAGGGTAGAAGGCGAGAGAGATTATGAAGGATAACGAATATGAATATACAGAAAGGTTCAGCAGGGAAGACAAGAGTATAGGTCAAGAAATCCTCCTGTCATTCCGTGGAGAAGGACACAGGACCCCATAACCAATCCTCTATCCTTCTTGCTTGTTCCCAGGTCCGTCTCCACACACTAACTCAACTTGGATGCCACATGGGACTTCCCTGGCATTTTTGCCCAGATCTTTCTTATCAGAAAGATAGTTCTCATCTAGTATCCTGGTGTTCTTCAGCTGCCTCGGGGCATTGTGTAATCACTGAACATCTCCTGTAATCTGTGTTACTTCTCTGTGGCAGGAACCTGATGAGAGATGGGATAGCAGAATAGCATAGTGAGGAGTGAACTCCACAGACTTCTGGATGGTTTCTTTAATATTTTAGATGGCATGTTCAAAATAACTCTCCTTGTTTAAAAAAAGTCAGCTCATTTAAGGAAATAATGATTTATTTTAGGCATTGTATTAAATTTCTGTCACTATAATAAAAGATTTGGTAGTTACTGCATGAAGAAAAGGATCATTTTGGGCTTATGGCTTTACATTGCTCTTTCATGACCAGACAGGCTCACTGCCTTTTGGCCTCTGGTGGGTGCTAGATAGTAGTCATGGAGGATGTGTGATGGAGCAGCCTGCTTTCCTCACTGTGGTCAGAGAGCGTAATGCACAGATGATGGGACTATAGTTCCATAAAAGTTAGCCTTCCATAGTGACTTGAGAATGCTCCAGGTCTTTTCACATAGACCATGCGAAACATCCAAGGATCAAGCCACAGCAAGTATGACATCCATTAAGCTGATTATGCATTTGCCACGAGAAGGCTAATTCTCCAATCTGGTTAGCTTTAATCAGAATTTGATGTTTAGATTAGTTTTTCTGGACTCCTTATCATTCTTAGTTCATTTATGTCACAGTGGGAAAAAAAAAGGAATCCTAAAATAGCAGGTTAACTTGGGGACATTTTATGTTATTGCAAAATGCCTGTGAATGACTCTGATTTGAATCAATTTCACTATTTCTAGTTATTACTTAATAATTCCTTCTTGAAATTTCCATATTAAAATCAATTACCCATTTTTGAGTAAAATTATCTCCATGATTACAGTTCTGTCACGATTCTGAAGTGAACAACAGGAATAATTAAAAATGGCCATGAATGACATTTGCATCTATATTTAACAACCTCTTCAATTGACTGCACAGATGTTATTATTGATTTTTGTCTTTGATATGATAAATTTCTCAGTAATATTAAGGAGTGTGCTTTTGAGCTTTGCATTGCTGACCTGCAGTTAATGAAAGTCCAAGCAGCTGCCCTGACAAATTTGATGAATTTGTAACCAAAGTTCTTTAGGGATTGGCTGAGATCTGTTGCTTTAGGTCCTATATTTGGATTCAGACATACAGATTTTGGTTTCTTCTCAATTGTGGGTTTAAAAGGTTTGGTATATATTGCATACCCTTATATAGATACATATCCATATTATTTATACTGTATTCACAAGTGGGACATGAATTTGTATGTTTTACTTTTAAAAACATAAGCATTTTCATTTTAAGGTATGACTGTCTTACTTAACATTTTTTCCCTTTTTCTTTAGGTTGAAGAAATTGTAGACATTGGATCTTTTGCCCCAGAAGATATCCACATTCCGAAGATTTATGTACACCGCCTTATACAGGGAGAAAAATATGAGAAAAGAATTGAGGTAATTTACAGAACTTTTTTTTGCCAGTATATTTGGATCTGGTTACCAGAAACACATGTCTCTTAGGCTACTCCAGGTGATGGAAGGTTGGACCAAAGCACTTTTACTCTGGGTCTTAAGTAGGAGCTTCTGGTGTGTCCATTGGAAAGGAAGCAACTGGATTCTGCCCAGTGTGACGGTGTTTCCATGTCTTGTGATTTTGGTTGGCTGTTATATCTGCCAGGATTCTGCAATGGTTGCAATTTATGAACCCTGATTTTGGATAGCTATTTTAGAGGGTAGAGGTGAATATTCAGGTCTTGATGGCTTTACCCCTCTGAAGTCTTAATGTTTGCTTGTAGAGTGTAGCCTTCCCCGCCATCCACCTGGTCCGTGCCACAGTTGCAGTCCCCCAGATAACTCACAGGACACTGTATTAATTATGAAGCTGTTGGCTGTTTGCCTGGTTTCTTACTGGCTATCTCTGACTTAAGTTTTTACCTCATAATTGTTAATCTAAGTATTTCTCTTACTGGAGAAAGGGTCCGGACCTTTTACTCCTCTGGAGGCTATATTGTGACTCCCTGTGTTTCTCTTTCCCAGAATCTTCCTCGACTCCTAGTCCCACCTATTTTGCTTCCCTATTGGCCAACAGTGCTTTATTCAACAACCAGTAAGAGACAGATTTACAGAATGGCATCTCCCATCACCTGCTCAGAAGTATCTGTTTTGAAGAAGTTATGTACATTTATGGAATAAAGAAAGAATTAATTTTTAACTAACCTTGAGCTATGGGCAGATGATGGGTATGAAGGTGTTCAGGGGTTGGGGACCAGGAGTATTGGGGCCTTTCTACAATGACTGAAATACCAGGCCTCATTTGATGTTAAGATTAAAAAGTTTCTAGGAATAACACCACAATAGATATATAGCAGGGAGCATTGGGAGTCAATGAATATATAACAGGGGGTATTGGCTGTCAATGGATATGCAGCAGGGGGTATTGGGAGTCAGAACAAAAGGCGATATGCTGTACAAGACTGCTATCAGGTGCCTTGAGAGCTAGGAGAGGATATTTACAAACAAGCCAGTTTGTTTTAAGGAGACTTAGTAATGGGAACTGTTCTGGTTGTTTCCATGATTCCTGTGATCCACACATAGCAAAGCCCATCTAGACTCTGCAAGGTGAAAAGAGGCAGTTGGCCTCAGCACCACCTGGTAAACACATTCTGACAGCCCCAGGAAACAGATGTCCAGGGCCTATGTCTTCTCTTTTATTCAGGCTCAGTTTCTGAACACCTGAGGAGAATTCAGCTGTCAAGCCGTAGGTAGAACAGTGCAATAGTCAGAATGGCAATAACAAAGGGATTGTTTGCCTTGCAGTGAGAGCAGGTCTGTCTTTCCCTTCAAACAAATCTGATCCGCTTTATTTACTCGCCAAAGAATGATCTCTGTCATGAAATACCACTTGCTTTATCTTTTTTTTTAATGCTCCATTGTATTGTAGACTTGCCTCCTACTGGGAACAAGGGCTATTTTTTTTCCTACAAATTTTTATATCGAAGCAATGAGAAGTTTGAAAGCTGATCTTAAACGTGAATAATTTGTTTCTACTTACTTTGAAGCGTTTATCACTCCGAAAAGAAGGAGATGGAAAAGCCAAATCTGGTAAGCCTGGAGAAGATGTCAGGGAGCGGATCATCAAGAGGGCCGCTCTTGAGTTTGAGGATGGCATGTATGGTATCCTTTGTCAGTCTCAGCTCCAGCAAATATGCAGTCCTTGCTTTTCCATGATCAGCAGGCTATCAGGCCTATGCGTGATGATTCTCGTCTAATTCACGTTAGCTTTAAAGGTAGTCAGACTTTACAAAATGGGATATGTAATTCAGGGGTAGCAAGACAGAGGAAGTCGATGTTTGTGATCTCTTTGCCTTCTTGATGGTAACTAAAATACACTTAGTAATTGCTGAATGTTTATTTTCACCTCTACCCCTCTTTATTTCTTGTTTTTTTTTCAATTTGCACTTATGCTATGGTGGGAATTCACCCGGTGGAAGAGAGTATCGTGTGGTCATCATCTGTCTTCTGCATAGGAGAGGGAGGGAGTCAGCCCAGACTGAGTGGGTCTCAGCTACTGGGCTTTTCTCTGCTGACTCACCATTGATATTTATGCACACACCACAACACTCATTCCCTATGGTAATGGCTCCTAGGTGTTGTTCTTTATTCACTGTTGCTGCATTGCCAAGGACAAATGTCGGTAACTCATCTCTGGTCTTTCTCTGTTACCTACCTTAGTCAGCACTAAGTGTGCAAGGCTATTTGTTTCCTAGTATATATCCTCTTAAAATATTTTGTTTTTATTTATTTACTTTTTTTTTCGAGACAGGGTCTCTAAATAGCCTTGGCTGTACTGGAAGTCACTATGTAGGCCAGGTTAGCCTCAAACTCACAGAGATCCATCTGCCGTTGTCTCCTGAGTGCTGGGATTAAAAGAGTGCATCACCATGCCCTGCTTCTTACTAAAGTATTTGAAAAGTAATTCAAATAATCGAGCGCGTAGAAGAGCTTAGGTTCAGGGTTTGCAACTAGGGTTGCGGTTTCCTGAAAATAGTTGTCCGTAACAGAATTAGTATATATCATGTTCTGTCATGACTGAGAAATGGGATACAAATTACACTGTTATTTGACTGTGGTTGGTTAGATTGTGTGAACAAAGTAGCTGTCAGTGTAGTTTCACACACTTTCTGTATCCACAAGAAGTGACCTGTGACCTGGGCCTCTGTATTATACTTTTGGCCTTGTATTTAATGTTCTCTCTCTCTCTCTCTCTCTCTCTCTCTCTCTCTCTCTCTCTCTCTCTCTCTCTCTCTCTCTCTCTCTCTCTCTCTCTCTCTCTCTCTCTCTCTCTCCCTTCTTCCCTCCCTCCCTCCCTCTCTTTCTGTCTATGGCTATGATTCAGAATACTATTTTTCTTTTAAGTTAGTTCTGGTAAGGTCTTCTCTGAGAAGTGATTGTATAGCTCAATGGAGAAAAGATCTTCTGTCCTGTTGAGAGCAGTATTAGTCTCACACCATGAAGGAAAAAATCAGCATTGACTTGCTGAGATTGTGTAAGGGACAAGGTCCTTTGGAATGTCATGGTACATGACCACTTTTCCTATGCCCTCAGAGTGTTTGCTGAGATGCTTCCTCCCATCTTTCCTGATTATGCCTCAAATACACTTAACAATGATGAGCCATCAGAACCATTGATATACTTGAAATGACAGTAGTTTGGTCCAATAAGAACCCTTTTCTTTAAATTCAGAAATGATACTGTCTTTTTGGAATTTTAAATCATCTTTCTTCTTAGTGGGGGTTTTGTATGGTGAAAATAGTTTTTAAACAAAGGCCAATCCATGCTCAATAATGTCAGTCATAAATGTATTAACCCAAGCTTGCTGAACAAATTAGTAAAAGTAAAGTATGACTTACACTATTGTTAAAATGATCTTGGTTATTTCCTGAAGCCACTCCTTTGATCTTTTGATAAAGCATATTAATGGTATTAAGACAGGGGCCAATCGGAGATTTTCTTTTAGGAAGATTATCAATGAATGCACAGAGAATATTAAGTTATTACATTCATATCCATTTCACTCTAAAGAAGACTCTCATTCTGACTTATATGTGCAAAGACTTATAGCTCCATCTCTGCTTTTGCTGTGTTGTGCCTTAACTTCTTCCTCCAGCTAATTTGGGTATAGGGATACCTCTTCTGGCCAGCAACTTCATCAGTCCAAATATGACTGTTCATCTTCAAAGTGAAAATGGAGTCTTGGGTTTGGTAAGGTGACAATAACTTCTCTTTAACTATGAACTACAGCAAATGATATTTGTTGCTTTCTCAATGTAATTTTCCAGTGTTTTATCACTTTTCAGTAGACTTCTACTGTTACTGTGATAAAATTATTATATACCTCCTCTATGGATGATGGCCACAGATATGACCACTGATTGGCTGAGCCATCTCCTGGCTATTTTTCAGAGACACAAAAATGCTGTGTGTCTGAATAGAAGCAGATTCCTATTGAAGTCAAAGACTTACTTGCACTTTAGAGGACTCTTTGAGGTTGTCTATAGTAGTCAGCCTTTTCATTTTGATGACAGTAAGTTTATGTGAATTATCCATGTGGGACATTGAAAGGGAAATGGACAGAATATTAAAACATTAGGTGCTAATTCAGTTTATTTATATGATAGTTTCCAGTCCTTCTTTTGGAGTGTATTAAAAATTCATAGCCAGTATTCACTTATTCTTAACTATTACATCTTTTCTTTTCCCCCTTTCTCCCTTCCTTATATGTCATTATATAAAAGTGCTTGGCTCCATTCATTTCACTAGAGTTACCTTATAAAAAGGAATACAAAATTAGCTCAAGGTTGTACCTCAAATGCAGTAGAAAACATGTACATAGCATGTGAAGTCCTTCTTTTGATTTCTATCAAAACATGCACATATATACAAATGTTTCTATGTGCATTCACTCATACATACACATATACAAACAAGTGCAATTACATTTTAAAAATATTTTACTGAGAAGAACTCAGCAAAGGGAACATAAGGGTGTCTATGTATAGATACAGGGAAAGGTAAAATTAGAATTCCAAATTCAGACCTCCAAAGTGTAGTATACCAAAACAAATGAACTGATGTTCCAAGTCTTTGTAGCCAAATAACGTAAGTGTAGGTGGCATTCACTGTCCTACCAGAGGGGTTGCAAGTAGATTTAACTGGGGCTGACAGGCTCTGTATGGACCAAAATGTGTGTTAATAAGACCCAACTTGAAACAGGAGATTATTTTGTTATTGTTTTTCTTTTTTATTATTGAAAATACAATTTTCATACAACACATACTTTTAAAAATAATTTTAATTTTTATTGAAAATTGATTTTTACACAATATATCCAGATCATGATTTCCTTTCCCCCTGTCATCCTAGATCCTCCCTACCTCCCCACCCACACAAATCCACCCCCTCTCTTTTTCTCATTAGAAAACAAACAGACAACTAAAATAAAAAAGAAAACAAGCAAACAAACAAAAAACCCCATATCAGAATAGGACCAAACAAACAGAAAAAAAAAAGAGTCAAAGAAAAAGCACAAGAAACACATACAGATGTAAATATATACATACTCTCTCACACACAGTGATCCCATGAAAACACACAATCAGAAACCGTAACATATAAACAAAAGGCCTGTAAGGTTAAAACAAAACGAAACAGACAAAGCATTCTGAGATGAAAACTCTCCAAAAATACCACTGGGTTTATTGTCTTTTGGCCATCTATGGCTGGGCATGGGGTTTTTGCTTAAGTGTTGTTTGTATACCAGGTTAGACTCAGTTGGAGAAAAACTAATTTTTCCTTTGTGAGAAGTTGTCAACTGGAGATAGCTTCTGAGTTAGGGATGGGGGCTTTCATGCAATATATTCTGATCTCTGTCCACCAACCTTCCAGATGCTTCCTACCTTTATATCACCTTTCTCCCTCTAGAAAACACCAGACAAAACTAAAACAAAGACAAATAATAATAGTAAAATGAAATGAACACAAAGAAAAAGTGCTAGAAAATTTCACACACAGACACACACACACAGACACACACAGACACACACACACAGACACACACACAGACACACACAGACACACACAGACACACACACAGACACACACAGACACACACACAGACACACACACAGACACACACAGACACACACAGACACACACGCACACACAGACACACACAGACACACACACACAGACACACACAGACACACACACAGACACACACACAGACACACACAGACACACACACACAGACACACACAGACACACACACAGACACACAGACACACACACAGACACACACAGACACATAGACACACACACACAGACACACACACACAGACACACACACAGACACACACAGACACACACAGACACACACACAGACACACACACAGACACACACACACACAGACACACACAGACACACAGACACACACACACACACAGACACACACACACACACACACACACACACACACACCCTCCTTTTTTGTGTGTGTGGTTCTTGCATGAAGTTTATAGACCACATTGTTATGGTACCTACATATCAGGCACTGAAGAATTACTTCTCTTAAAGCAGACTGGTTATTTCAGGAACTATTTCTTACTTGCCCAGTCATAATCAATATGAGAAAAAAAAAGAGTAGTGAAAACCCAGAAATTATTTTTGAAATGTTTACCTCAGTCTTTGAATGTTAACTTTCTAGATCTTCAGGGAAGGTATTTAAATGGTTACAGCATGTGACTAAGGGGGAAATGTGATTCTGTTACTCTCTGAATGTGTGCTGTATTTGACAGGGTCCATACCCACTGCAACACGAAGCTGATGCTGATCTTATCAACGCAGGTAAATTCACTTCATTCTTTTTCAACACTTTCCCATGCTACTAGTTTAGTACTGTGTAAACTATCAGCAACCCGTTTGAACCTATTGCTTTGTCTTCTCCTGGAGGGAATTCACTGTATTTATGACAGAGGAGGGAAATGGCCCTTCTGGTCTTTGAGATCTCAGTCTCAGCTGAGATAACAGAAGAAATGCAGGTGGAGGCATATTTTATTTTTATTATTTTTTTAGTGTTTTTTTTTCTTATTTATTTTTAAGTTTAAATTTAGATTAGACGTTGCTTCACAAGTCAGTTCCAGGTCCCTCTCCCTTTCCCTCCCCTCCTCCCATGCCCCCCCCCCCATTATCCCCTCATTTCCCCAGGCAGGGTGAGGCCCTCCATGGGGGTGTCCATAGTCTGTCATTTCATATAGGGCAGGGCCTAGACCCTCCCCCAAGAGTTCAGGGTGAGAGTGCACCTCACATTGTTGGATGGGAGTCCAAAGTCTGTGTGTATATTCGGGATGAGTACTGATCTACTGCCCAAGGCTCAATACATTACCTAGGCCTCCTCACTGACACCCACATTCAGGGGGTCTTGATCAGTCCCATGCTGGATTCCCAGGCCTGGGATTCAAGAGTTAACCATTGTCAGGTCAGCTGTTTCTGGGGGTTAAACCAACCCAGTCTTAATCCCTTTGGTCATCAGTCCTCCCTCTCTGTCACTAGATTTCTTGAGGGTCCTGTCTGCAAATAGAGAACACACCCTTGCATGGTGTTATTGAGAAGAGTACAGAGACAGAGCAACTTACAAGGGTTTGGACAGTATTCTATTTATCCTTAAAGGGTGGTAGCAGGAGAAAGTCACTCAATAGAAACTGTGGCATTTAGGTAAAAGATCATCACCAAATTACAGTGACCTTGGTGGACTAAGGTATCTGCTGGGGTCTCCTGCCTGGGCTTTCTGCTGGCCAATCCCAGGTGGAAATATGCCAGGTTATATAGAAATCTGGAAACATGCCAACCCCAACTTGAAATAGTCTGCGGATAGAGAAAGTGGGAATGGATGCACAGTACCAGGCTGCTGCACTAGGGTTTTGACTGTAGGTAATGTTACCGTTCTGCAATGTACATCGTATTAGCATGAGAAGGCAGCCTCTAAAAGTGGGGTTGCTTAAGTCTGCACCAGGCCACTGACTTCATGCCAAAGATGTGAGCTGAACACACAGAGAATTTCTTTGAGTTGGGGACTCACATTGTTTTCTCCTCTGCTCCTGTAGTCACATGCTTTGCCTTTTATTATCAGCTTGCTAATTGCCAGGGACCTGTAATATATTAGCAACGTAGAGAATGAACAGGCCAGGTCTTTTGGTGACTGTCACAATGCTTGAGGTAGCATTGCTCTTCTGTTGGCTTTTGACTCATCCTTGGGGGTAGAGCTGTTCTTAAGTTATGTCCTAGTAGGATTTTTCAGTGCCTTTCTTTATCCATTCTGCCGCCACAGAAGTATTGTTCTTACTTTGTATTCAAAAACAGTATGTGTAACTCTCAGATGTCATACGAGCTGAACATAAAGTCCAGCTATCAAGCAGAATGATGTCTGATACTTGGGATTTTTGGAAGTTACACACATTCAGGTTGGATATTTAAAGTAGCTAACACAACTCAGCTCTGAAAGTCACAGTGTAGCCACGCAGTGACATTTAACTAACGCTGTACTTGAATTGTACTGTATCCTTTAGCAATTAGCTCACTGGTCTGTGAAAATATTTGCTGCTTGCTTTAATTAATTTATTATATTGGTTGGTTATTTGCAAAATGAGTAATTCCATTTCCCAAGTCTCGGGCTTTGAGTTTATAAAACCCACTTTCCTCGGAAGAACAGCTAACCTTTTCAGTCACATTGTTGGATGGGAGGGGTTTCCTGCTCATGAAGCTTCAAAGAAGCTCACTCCCAATGGAGCTACCAATTTTCAAGTTTTGAAACCCCACTGTAATCTTAAAGCACCCAACATAAACTCATTTGAGTCTGAGCTCGCACCGTCTCTTGTTACTGCTGCATGATTTTCTGTCCACACACTGAATTATACCTGCCAAAAAGCCAGCTTTAGGAAGGTGCAGATGGCAGCAAATAGGTGTGATGAAAATCTGGTGCAAACCTAGTATAGCTGAGAAATTTCGAATAATTCCCATGCTTTTGCTTTTTCATTAAATGCGACCTATGCATGCTTCCCTATCAGTGCTGTTTTCTTATTTTAATGTAAAAAGTAATGCTGTGAAATTGCTTTAGGAAGAGTCATCTTGTGGCCTGTGACAAACCCCTCCTAACTTTGACACTGGCTGTTTTCAACACTATTGGGGATGGCTGGCAGTGTCTGAAGACATTTTTGACTGTTACTCCTGGGAGCGAGTATTAGTAGGTAGAGGCCAGAGACACTGCCAAATACCCTCTGACTACAACAGCCTCCCTGCATTTGAGGTCCCTCCCACTTCTGGAGACAGGAAAATACAGGCGGCTCCACACTGAATGCCTGCGGGGTTCTCTCTGCTTAGGACCATCCCTCCATCCTGGTAGCCTTTGCACTCACTCTGTGCTCACCAGATTCTCTCCTTCATTTTTATCCACATCTCTAAGCTCATGATTATCATCAGATTGCATTGTAACCGTCCTTCACTTTTGGTCCATTTGGTCATTGTTTAGTCCTTTCACAGACAAGAATGTGCCCTCCCCAGAACCTACAGCACATTGAGTGTCTCTCTCCAAAGCACCCATCATTTTGTCTTGTAACTATTTCTGTCTTTTGCTGAAATATTAACTGTTGTTTTCCCCTTAGGGTATTGGCTCTTTAAGTCTCAGTATCCATAGTGTCAACATGACCAGTGCCTCTTAGATCTCAGCCACTACTACCCATGTGCTGAATTAGAAACTGGGAGAGTTGGAGGCAGTAGCAATCACATATGCCTAAGCCATCCATGTGAGTCTGTTGGGAATTCATGTTTGAGAACCAATAGTATAGGGTAGTTGAATTTTGTTTGTAGCTTTGTTCAGTGCTCATAATAGTTACTTACCTACTATTGAATTATGAACCAACAAACTAGGTAAGGATAAAATTAATGCACTTTCTTGACAAAGCAGTATGAAAACATTTAGACGTACAGAGAAGAGTTATTTGATATTGCCATATATGTCTTAATGCATTCTGATTACTTTATTCTCACACCCCTTTTGTCTCTATGCCTGCTCCCCTCATTGCCTGCTCCCCCAACCCCAGATTCCTGACTTTTGTTTCAGGATCCATTTAATTTAACCATGGCCATCTGTTGGGTTGGGACAACCCATTGGAGCCTGTTGGGGTCAGCAGTAGGCACACAACTGAAGGCAGGGTCTTGCTTTCTCCCTGAATCTATTAGTAGCAAATAGTTCACTAATGAGGGTTGGCCTTGGGGTGTCCATCCTCCATCCATACCTGACTGTTGGCAGGGCCATTCTTTTTCAGACTTAGTATAGGAACCTGTAGTTACTGTGAGTTTGTGATAACAATGGCAGTGTCTTATCTATAGGATATTTTATCACAGCCCTTCCTATCTTCCAGCTTTTACATTCTATCTGCTCCCTCTCCTGCAGCATCCCACAGCCTTAGAAGGGATGCTGTAAATGGCTTGTTCTCAGCATTGTATGAAGCTAGGAGTCTCGTATTTATTGCCATTCACTAGAGAGAGGCTTAGAGGGGCATTTGTTGGCTTCTGTCTGTTATGTGGGATGAGTGCTTAGAGAGGGTCTCAGAATGCAGCAGAACAGAACTGAAGCAGGGAGCATCTTCCCTGATGCTGGCTGTCATGTGGACTGTATGCCTGGGTGGGGTTTTGGATTGGTGGCAAGGCTTTTAATCTTTATATTGACTTATTGTTATAGTTACTGACCAAATCCTGGGTGCTGCATTAGAAAATTGTGGATTCACCATAGTATATTTAGGTATTGGATTCATTTAGATATTGAATACTTAAAAATAATGGCGCCCAAAAAAATAGAACTACCATATAATCCAGTAATTCTATTTTTGGATATATTCCCAAATGAAATAAAATCAGCAAATCACAGAGACATCTGTCTTACTGTGTTTATAATGTGTAAAATACTGTTTGTCATAGACAATAAAATGGAAACAGGCTGAGTTTTTAATCAACTAATCAGTGAGTAAATAAAGCACATAAAAGAATACTAATAAAGGATTTAAAAGATGATATTTGTCATTTGAGACAGTGTGGACTATACTAAGCAAAATGGGTCAGGCACAGACAGGCAAGTCATGCATATTGTTAGTCATATGTGGAACCAAAAAAACCAAAACAAACAAACAACAAAACCAAAACCAAAAAAAAAAAAAAAAACAACCAAACCAGTCTCATGGAAGTTGAGAAGAGAATGGTGGTTCTCAGAACAGGCAGAAGGCAAAATTGAGGAAGGCTAACTAGTGGGTACTAAGTTATGATTAGGAGTTCTGATATGATATGGCACAATAGGGTAATCATAGTTATCAATGATCTTCTCTGTGTCTCAAAAAAACTAAAAGGGGGTTCATGTTTTCATAATTGGGAAAGGGTCAGCTTTAGAGGAGAGGCAGAAGTGTTTCTTCTGATTTGAAAATTTACAGTATGTATAAACCCACAAACATATATGATACTATAATATAATTGTATCACTTACCCCTTCTCTTTCCTCCCTTCTCCTAAGCATATAAATACAGAATCTGAATAATGCTACTCATGTGTATGTTTTTAGGGTTGACCTCTGGTTTGGATAGCCAATTGGAGTGCCTAAAGTAATTGCGAATGAGTAAAAGTCTGTCTAGGCTAGATATGACAGACTTTGATGATCCCCCATGAAAGGCCTCACCCTCCCTGGGGAGTGGATGGGGGTGTGTGTGATGGGGGCCCAGTGGCGGGCATGGGGTAATGGAAGGGAGAGAGAACTGGGATTGATATGTAAAATAAGATTGTTTCTAAAAAAAAAAAGTCAGGCTAGGAAGTGGTTGATGGGTAGAGAGGAGCTTAGGTACAGGCCTGACCTAAGTTCAATCCCTGAATCCCACAGGGTGGCAGGAGAGAAATGAGTACTGAGAATTATTCTCTGACCTCACATACATACCCATATATATACTCAAAAGAAATAACAAATAATAAAAATGTCGGCAGGTGACTGCTTCAAAAGAATATAATGCTGCCTTAAAAGACACATACATACACTTGAAATAAATAGTACAAATAAATAAAAATGTGGGCAGTTGACTCTGCTTGAGAAGAATGTAGTTTATAGATTGCCCCGGCAAAAGCCTGGATACTTTTCCATGAGGTTGTTCTTGGGGCTTTAAATATAGTTATGCTTTGTGCAGCAGAATGCACCCCATTGATCTTGGGATTGCCTACAAAATGCTACTACTAATAAATAATTACTATATTTTATCATTATCATCATTTTATTATTGTTAATTTTAAAAACTACTCACATATATTGCCAGTGGAGAATATCTTTTGTGATTTAACACTCAGGAAATGAAAGACTTGGTATGTTTATGTTGCTTTCATGCCCTCTCCCGTTTTCCTCCATGCCTGTCCACCACACAGAAGTGGCTAGGCTCTGATTGTGCCAGACGGAGATGTGTGTGGATGAGGTCCAGCTGCAATGTGCATGTCCTAAAGCTTAGGGCTCATGAAGACTGGCTGGGAACCCTACTGTATGAGCCAGTTTGTGGTCCCATGCGGCTATGCAGCTATACAGCTATGCAGCTATGCAGTTATGCAGCTATTGGGGGGGGGGCAATGATCATAATGACAGCTGCCTTTGTGGAGTTGTGCTCTGTGCCCGGCTCTGACTGGGGACTTCACATGCATTATCTTACTTAACCCTCTGTCTTTTGTGCTGTCTAAAAGCTACTTCCAACCACACCAGAAAGTATTTCCCAAAGCGTTTCAGGTTTGTGGTACTTTGGAAGATGAGAAGATGTTTCCATTATTTAGAATTGAATTCCCTCGGGCAATAAATATTTCAGTATGATATAAATAGGTTTGCTCCCCCCCCATACTTGAGCTGAAGTGGGGGATATTGATGAACGCCTTAGCTTTCTGCAGTCCTTGAGAAGCTGGCTGGTGTGGCTGAGGTGCATGAGCAACTGGGCATGGCCCGACCTCTTCCAGTGCTGAGACTTCTGAGAGCTTTTCCTGCATTCTGACCTCTGGACCAAAGCTTTGCTTCCTCTTCATAGCTACCTCACTGTGTCCCACCAGAGAAGGGAGTGCTCGGAAGTGCTTCAGTCAGGTAGCCTTTAAGCACTTTTCCTGAGGAGACCATGGGATGGTCTGAAACTCTGCCACAAACAGGAAGTAGATCCCACAAGATGGATAACTTGGGTCTGACCAAGGAATTGGTAGTTATCTAGTGTGTTAACTGGATAAACGTGGAGGTTTTTATTTATATAGCTATCTTTAATTTTCTAAACGGTATCCCTCAGTCTGTAATCCTGGCTGGGTGGAATTTCCTATGTAGATTCTGGAAATCTATATCTGCCTCAGGTTCCCAAGTACTGGGATTACAGGTCTGTGCTGCTACACCCAGCTAAGTGTGAAATTGTTTTTTGTTGTTGTTGTTTTGTTTTGTTTTGAGCTCTGAACTTTTATAACAATGTGCCATTTTTAGAAGCCTTAACAAGAGCATCTCTTATAAATTAGTATTAAATGTGTTCAGAAGCATTCTCTGATATCATGAAAGTATGTGATCTGACGGAAGCTCACACCTTATCCGGGTTAAGAATAAAGATGGATGTGTGTATGTACTTGCATGTGTTGGGGGTTCAGGCTTAATGATAATAAGGAATTACATATGTGCTTTTTATATTGTTCATTTATTTTTATAGATTTTCTCCCCACAATCATTAAGGTATAGTTGGTGTCTTAGGGTTACTATTGCTGTGATTAAACACCATGACCAAAGCAGCTTGGGGAGGGAACAGTTTATTTGGCTTATGCTTCTTCGTCACTGTTTATTATCAAAGGAAGTTGGGACAGGAACTCAAGTGGGGTAGGAGCCGGGAGTCAGGAGCTGATGCAGACATGGAGGACTGCTGTTCACTGGCTTGCTCCCCTTGTGTTGCCTGTTATAATACCCAGAACCACTAACCCAGGGACAGCACCACCCACTATGGGCCTGACCCTCCCACATCAATCAGTAATTAAGAAAATGCCCCACAGGCTTGCCTACAGTCAGATCTTATGGAGGCATTTTCTCAATTGAGACTTCTTTCTTTCAGGTGATTCTAGCAAGTTGACTAATTAGCCAATATAGTTAGCAAAAGAAAGTAGTGTGTATTCAATGTTTAACATTTGGTATGTTGACTTGATATGTGTGCTCATAGTGAAATGACTGACATAATCAAGTTAACGACCATTCGTCACCTCACAGCTGCCATCTGAGGTTTCCTTTCAAAACCTATTTCAAATGTGCAGTGTGGTGGTGTTGCCTGTAGCCACTGTTTCGTGTTAGATCCTTGGCAAGCTTTAGTCTTTAGCTGCAGATTGTCAGTGTCTAAAGCTGCAAAGTTGAAGGACATTGTATAGACAGTAGAGGATGTTTTGCTTGTAGAGAATTTCCAAGCAGTAATACCATAAACACTGGTTATCTCTTTGCAGGGACAAAACTAAGCAATGTCACTGACAAAATACACCTCTTCTCCGGGTGGACAGTTGCTATCCCGTGTGCAATTGCATTTTGGTTGGACTGTAGAGTCTTCCAGAAGGAGAGATGGTGCAGCCCTCTCTGTTCATCATGATGATCTCAGAGATCTAATAGCTCCCCCCTCCTTCTTTCTTTTGTGTGTGCCTTTAGGAAAGGAAACAGTTACTGTTCTTCCAGGAGCCTCTTTCTTCTCCAGTGATGAATCATTCGCAATGATTAGAGGGTATGTAATAACGCAGCCCCTCATATTCACGCGGTGTGGAGTGGGCTGAGTCATCTCTGGGCCTATGAGCAAGACTCCCAGGCACAGTCCCATTTCCCACAGTCCCATTAAATGATCATGGTTTGTTCAGCTGCAGAAAGCTGTGAAATTATTCCCACTGAGGGTTGGGCATGGAAATATCCACCCTGCTACTTTGAAAAGACCCCCTACATGGAGTTTGCATCTCTGTGCCAGCTTGATTGAAATAACATTATAAAGTAATCCTAATGTTTTCTTCAAACTGTTTGTCTTCAAAACAAGTCACATTCTCCCCCACTGAAGGAAACAAACTTCACTGTGCACACCTGTGTTTAGTTTGTTTTCGGAGACAATATAAGCTATAATTTTTTTTAAAAAGAACTCTTAATGGTTACTTCTTTGCAACAGCTTGGAGCTGATCTATTTAGAAATCAATTGCAGGGAATGGGAAAATAGATGCATTTTGGGGCCATAAGATTTTTTTAATTGCTGATTCTTTCAAGCATGGGGGATATAAAGCTTGTGAAGTTCACTTTATACTTCTTTTTTTATTTCCCAGAGGACATGTCAATCTAACAATGTTAGGAGCAATGCAGGTTTCTAAATACGGTGACCTGGCCAACTGGATGATACCTGTAAGTAGAGCTTTTTTCCTTCTTCTGAATTATGTTGGATTAGAATGCTTTTGAAATGTTAAGATAAACCCTTGCTATGAAAGTATAATTATCAGAATTGAATAAATATGTTTTCTTCTTGGTAGAATTGATTTTTTTTTTAGACAAGATCTTACTCTTAGACCAGACTGATCCTGAATCCATACCATGGCTCTAGCCTCCTAAGTGCTTGGACTATGGATATGAGCCACCATACTTAGCCTAAATCACTCAGTTTTTACTATGTCTTTGGGACTAGTGACCAGAAATGTCACAGAAAGCTGTTCCTTGGAGAAACTGAGTTAGAAGATTGAGGAACTGTGTCAGTTATAATCTCCTGAATATAAAAACTGACAAACATTTATTACAAGCAAGATTTATTACTAGAAAGAACAAGGAACAATTTCATTGATTGTATGTTAATTCTATTTTTCTTATGTACAGTGATTAAAAAATCCTTTCTTGATTGTTTGTATGACTCCTTAATCACAGTGTCTTCTGTTACGGAATTCAAAACCTGTGGTAGTTAAATGTGCTTGTGAAAGGCAGCTGGTTGGTTTTCATTTAATCATGCAAATCAAAGAGGAAGTCTCAGTATTAGCTTTGGAAAAAGGCTTACGGGATTTCTTTCTTTTGGTTTTGGCCATGATAAGGCTTTTACTGTGAGATTATGTTAAGGGGAACAACAGTGGACATGTGTCCCAGAGTGTGAGTGCACTGTGGCTGCTGGCTTGGGTGTGTGTATAAGGATTCCTGTGTGTTTCTCTGTAGCACCAGCTAAAAGGAGTTAAGTAACTAATTAAGTAATTATTTAACTAACTGTTTAGTAACTAATATTGGTGTTCTATGATAGTTTATTTTGATCTTAGTTTTATTTCAAAGACAAATTTGAACATGCTGGCTATGTTACATCTTGCTAATTTGCTACTACCTGCAACATTAAAGTGTAATAACAATTATAGCTCTGGTTCTCAAATTTGATGCATATTGGAATCATCTCAAAGGTTAAAAAATATTGAGGCTTGGGCTGGAGAGATGGCTCTATGGTTAAGAGCACTTACTGCTCTTCCCGAGGACCTAAGTTTGGTTTCTAGTACCTTGATCAGGTTCTTAACACCTGTAATTCCTGCTTCTGTGGATCCAACATCCTCTTCTGGCCTCCACAAGTACATTTACACATGTGGTCATACATGCACATAAATAAAAATAATCTTAAAAAATTGAGGTCAATTTTGCCTCCATTCAATCTTTTTTCTCAATATATGTTTTATTTTAATTAAAAACATGCATGCTTCACATGTCAATCCCAGCTCCCTCTCCCACCCCTCCTCCCTTGTCCCTCCACCAGCTCCCCTAGTCCCCCACCCAATCCCCACACCATTCTCCATGGAGGGTGTGGCCCTCCATGGGGGGGGGATCATGAAGGGATGCTCTCTCAGCCAAAATTAAATTTAATTAATCTTGACATAGCCTGGGAATGGGGTAGTTCAAAGCAACCTGAGTGGTTTTAGTTTGTAACTAAGTTAGGAAATAAGCTCATTAAATAATCATCACCATTCCATCATTAAAATGTATGGGAAATGCTGTGGGACCATCTATCTATAGGAAGAATTCTTAGCAGAATTATATTGGGTTATATTGTTCCTGGAGTTGTGAAAAGGTCAGTTATTCTAAGTTAGGTGTAGGAATGGTGATGGCAACTTTTGGAGGCTCTGAAGTAATCATGAAAGGGGGTGTCCCAATCATCATTCAGTGAGGTACATTGACAAGTAATAGGGTGAGTATTGGTGTAGGAAATCAGAATATATATCCACCTTCAATTTTTATAAAAAGACAGTGTGGTGCAGGAGAAAGCACTTAGAAAAGCAAGCCTTGGATTTTGTACTGTCAATATCAATAGTCAAGGTGTGACCCTGAGCCTACCACTTAATTATTTTTTCATCAAAACATTTTCATTTTGATCCAAAAATGGGAATTTGACACTAGAGTATGGTTCTCCTAATTTAGTAGTCAAGGAAAAAAAAACACATGTTCAGATAAATCCTAGTTGAAATTTATTGTTACATTGGAGCAGTTTATCTTGATCTATTTTGTTTTTTGTAATGAGATTCTTTCAGCCAGCTACCTGGGTCCCGCCACTGTCTCAGCCCTCTCAGCCCTCAAATAACACATGAGACACTATATGAAGCTGTTGACCATTTGCTATGGCTTCTTGATGGCTAGCTCTGACTTAATTATTAACCCATAATTACTAATATGTATTTTTATAAGGTCTTATCTTACTGAGAATTCCAACCTTGAGCCCTCTCCTCCAGGGAGCACATGGAAACTCTTGACTACATTTCCCAGAATTCTTGTCGACTCCTAATCCCACCTATCTTGCTTCTCTATTGGCCAACAGTACTTTATCATCCAATCAGACAAACATATACACAGAAGGACTTGCCCCATCATCTCTTTTCAGTCTAAATAAAAAGAAAGGTTTTAACTTTAACAAAGTCAAATTATATATAACAGAACAGTTATCAAATAAGAACTATAGTTACAATGTTTAGTCTATTAACATTTAGTAAGATTTAAAGAAAGTATTTTATTATCTATCCCATTTGTGTGAGTCTAAGGTCTTATATGTAGCTTACCTTTTATCATAACTAAGGAAAACTATAACTACCTGTCTTCAACTCCATCAAAGACCACAGAAGGATAATAGATAAACACTAGAACTGACAGAGACATCTCGCTACCTGAACAGTCACCTGAAATTCTGTAAATTGGGGTATCTATCTTCGGCCCATAGGCCACAGTGTCTCTGGCAGACTTCTCAGCAAAGCAGGAAGTTTCAAACTGTCCATCTGCATTGGCAGTCTGTCAGTCATTTTTCTGTGCACTGAAGAATGTCTGGCAGACTCTTCCATGAAGCACGAACCCTGTAAGGAGTTTTTCCATAAAATAGGAATGACATAATGATAGCTTCTTTATAGGCCTATTCGATGGTTTTTACTCTTTTGACTTTTTGAGGGGCTCACATCCTAGCTCCCAAATAAATCACAGATGGAGTCTTATTCTTAATTATGAATGTCTGGCTTTAGCGAGGCTTGTTTCTTACCAGTTTTTCTAAATTAACCCTGTAGCTTCGGCTTTGGGCCTTTTTTCTTCCTCTATTCCTGTATACCTTACTTTTATTTTTACTGGGTGGCTGGGAGGCTGCTTCCTGATGCCTCCTTCCCTTGTTCTCTCCTTGTTTTCCCTCTTCCTCGTTTCCTTTTCTACATATACACACTGCCTGCCAGCCCCACCTGTCCTTGATTCTGCCTTGCTATTGGTCATTCAGCTCTTTATCAAGACCATCAGGCGTTTTAGACAGGCAAGGAATCACAGCTTCACAGAGTTAAACAAATTCAGTATAAACAAAAGTCACACACCTTAAAATAATATTCCCCAACATAGGCCTATATAAAGGAAAAAGAAGCTATGGAGTAAACTTCACAGAGCTTGACTCACAGTGCGTGACAAGCTAAGAAGATCATCCCAGTAGAGAGGTTGGAATCCTGACAGTGAAGGCATCAGCATTGGCTCCCGTGAGGAGGAGCAGAGAGCCTTCCTGTTTGTGTGCTGATCCACACCGTGGCTTGAAAGTTGAAAGTTGGTATGCACAGGGCTTTTGGGGGCAGTCTGTTCAGCAGGAGCCTCCCACAGATGAACCTAGGCATCTGTAAACAGAATCAACACCTGCAATTTGTTTCCATTATCCTTTAACGTAAGTGAGACTGGAAGTTTTTTACTGCAAGCTATACATTTTAGATTGCCATTTTAAGGAACTTTCCAATGTATGCCCTTTTTTTAAAAAATGTCTTCCTGAGATTGCCATGAATGATTAAAACAGCTGTATGTGTTGCTTTATAATTTTCATTATATAGTTTTGGAGCTCATGTGTTCCAAAGGAAAGGGCCTGATGAAATGTTGATGGGGAACTCTGGATCATCATGAAATGACATTTGATGATCTGGGACACTAAGCATGTAAAGTAATCTTTATTCTGGTCCCACAGTTTTGGTAACGTAGGTTGACATTTCACTTTTTGGTTTGGAAACTGACAGTCGCTTCTTGACCTCGTTGTATGTGACCTGCGGTACATATCGTTATCATCCGTGATCCATGGTAGTAAAGACCGTGACATTTAGTTTTGTGATCAGTGTGAGACTCAGATCTACCCCTTACAAGTGATACAGTCTGGAACATACATTTTCATTAGGAATGAGTGATGGAAAATTTAGAAAACACTGATGCCCTCCATGAGGGAGGCTATTATTGCCATCTTCATTAACACTGTGCCACACAATATTAAAGAGATTATCTGCCTAAAACTTAACTGACTCAACCAAGACATTCCCACAGGAACCAGTAGGACCTGTTAAGCCTAGGTTTATATTCAAAGTCCAAACTTTAAATGCTTTTGGATGCATTTCTTGCTTTTGTTGGTTTTAGATAAGATGTATTCTAACCTCTGTGCAATTTTAGTAAGCAATCTATTTCTGTATGTCTCAAAGATTTATGTTGATTTATAAAGATTAGATACATTTTTATTACAAAATCTGACAGTCAAGAAGCTGGAAAGTTGAGCTTTATTACATCATTTTTCATTGACTTTATCTTTCCACTAAGTGTAATAATCTTTCATTGGCTGTATAAGTCTTGAGCTCTCTGTACCAAGGCATCTGCATCAATCATTGATGTGTCAGAATATAATAAATGCTGAGACCTTAAGACAAGAAAATGGTGTGGATGCTGTTTGTCTCATCCTTTAATATCTTCTTAGTATGCAGCGTTGCTCTCATGTACACAGATTTTTAACAGTTCTGCTCTGAGTATCCAAAAATGGAAAATTTGACAACAGTAGTTCACTCTCTCCTAGTCCCTGATCAGCATGATGATGGTGAAATCCCAGAGGAGCTAAGAAAATGTGGAAAGATATGCAGCTGATG